ATATTCAGGAAGTTTTTCACGAATGCTGACATGTTTCAGTAAGATGTGGCGTCTTTATTGCCCGTTGACAGATAATCCTATCTTGAAAATCTTGATGGTCCATGTTTTGTCGTAGAGCCATCCGTTGTCCATCGTAAAAGGAAAACGAATTAGAAGCCTAACACACTGCGGAAAAACATCTTATGATTCCGTAAGTCCTATCATGCCAATGGAACATCACTGGAAGATATTTGGACAGTGTTTTCACTTTTATTTGCTCTCCATTATTTTTTCAAGCAGGTAATCACGTGAAATCTAACCACAGTGATGCCGAAATATGAGCAAAACTCCGAACCTCAGTTGAGCTTCGAGGTCACGATTACCTCTTCGGGGTTCACGTGTTATTTACTGCAGTGCCGTGGCCTTTGCTTCGGCCTTCTTATTCTCGCTGACTGGTGATTGCTAATAGCACCGATATGACAAAACTGGCTGGGCTCGTATCTTAGTGACACCGTGATTTTAGACAAAAAGCGTGGAGATTTATCCACCTTAGTCAGTTCCAGTTCGAATGAGTTTAAAGCTGTAGCAAAATAAATCCACAGTGTACACAACCACTTCGCGAATTTCTTGAAGTTAATCAACAGTGTCATCGGGAATGAATCATTTCTGTTCTTTTTTCTACGCATTTATTTCATGTTGGTGTTGTCGCAATATCCGTGTTCTTCATTGTATAGTTGGTGTCAAATACGACTCATTTGCTCCTGAAACAATTCTTACGTTTTTTCTAGTCCGAAAATTTACACAGATTTCAAACGTCTTACAATTTTGGCTTTAGATAAACTGTATATTATGGAATCTTTTATCGGCGAGCTTCTTATAACCATCATCATTACCACAATGTGCTTCATCGGCCTCTTCGGGAATATCAGCCTTCTCCTGGCCGTTTTCACGGAGAAAAATTTGCGGAACAAATTTTGTACGTCTTTCCTATAAAAAATTGAAAAAAAGCAAAACCGCAGAACTTAGATCTTAATCGCATTGGAACCAAGGCAATTGCTTAACACAGAGCTTTCTAGGACTCTTACACTGACTCTTGCACATAGGGATAATATGGAAAGTCTTATATAGGCGAGGAAAGCGCCTGGGTCAGGTCAGAGAATCAGCCAAGGTGTGGCACTACGCTAAGCGTGATCACAAGTCACTCTTCCTTGAGATTTACTTTTGTATTTCTCGCTGACGTTTTTCTGTGTTCACTTTGGATTTCTATGCGAGAGGATGGCGACTCGTTCGAAATCTTCTCCATTCTGTTTCCGTGTCTGATGCGTGCCTAGTAGAGTGCTTGGTTTCAACTTCAGTTTACCGACCATGTGTTTTTTTCAATGGATGCATGCAGAGTGATCTAACTGTTTCGCCAACGTATTCGCATACGCTTTGCAAGAGATGAGGTACACCGTATCCGAGCTCGTGCAATCACCGTTTGTACCATTAGCGCATATTTTGCAACCTTTCTTTGTACATAAACAGTCATATAGGCGACTATGAACTAGGTGGCGTCTTGAGTTTCCAGATTGTATTTCTATCACTGTTACCGAATTATTACAGTCCGTCATCAGCACCCTGCATAAAGTGCATCACCGAGTGAGTGCGCCTCATTCGAGAGATAGCCCACTGCGGAAGACACAACTCAATAGGAAGGCGAAGACGCCACATCTTAGCGAAAAAGAACGATTCGGATCGTCGGCGCTGATGAAGGCGAAGACAAGACGTCGATACGTCAGCTGAATATATAGTCGCCGCTTTTGTGGATCAGGGAGAGATTTTCAACCATGCGACTACTTTGATATCAGGATGGTTGTGGAACCTGGCCTTGATTTACTTTTAACCGGGTTTTTTGATAAAAAAGCTGGACTCCTTTTCAGTGCTGAAGACCTTGCTGGAGAAATGAATCTTCAGGCGTACAACGCAACCCAGCACCCAGGAACCCCTCCCAGCCACGACGACGCTGCAAATCTTTGGGTGTAAGGTTGAATATTCCGCCCATACTCCTTTTTAATGTTAGAACAGTGTCTTGCCAAAAACCGACTATTGAATTGTATAAGTCTCAGTTTATGATGGCTTGGAAACTTCGTTTTTTGAATTTAGCGGCTTTTTCTCCTTTCTGCGAGAAATGAAATTTTGCTCGAAGGAAGCGATTGTCTCAACCAGTGTGGGATTTTAGGACAACAGCGATATCGGTAGAGCAAAACCTTCGATTTACTATAATATGGTCTATTTCGTCATGGTACTCTCCCCTAGGACACGCCCATGCCCAGCTTTGAGAGTGGAGTTTCTTGAATTGCTAGTTACCATGAACGGGTCAGAAAGTTATAATAAGCTCGGTTAGCCTCTCTCCCTGCTCATTCCATTCCAGTACTTAGGTCGTAGCGTAACGTTCTTGTTTTTCTGGGTCTAGCCTTGGTGTTGAAATCTCTAGTGAAAACCTTAAAGAGTTCAAGGCCTTTTTCGTAGAACGGCTGCGTGTCCACATAGAACTTCCCGACTTTTTCTTTGTCATTGATTGAAGTCGGTACGTTGACGAAGAGGATTGCCAAAGCCGGCATTGATTTACATTATTTCACTTGCAGACGTCTATTTGGGGTTGTTAGCTGTACGTACAAGGCGTTGTTCATGGCCCAACTCATGTTGGAGAGAACGTCGATGCCGTCGACTCTTTTATTATCGCGTCTTCCAAAAAACATTCTTCATCGGTGGAGTAGACAACGTTGAATGTGTTGAGTATTTTTGTCTCAGTCAGTCCGCAGACATCTTATTTTATCTTTCTTGTCTACATGATCAAGTTGTCTTTCAAGGAACCGGATGAAAATCAGTGTGTAGGTACAGATCATCACCTTAGTCTTGCGAGACTTAGGTAGGTTAGAATAGTCCTAACATTAGCATACCAGTCTTACCCACCGCTTATTATCGATGGTTTTCAGCAAAGCTCACCCATTTTTCTGTGGTTTAGAATTTAATATCTACATATAGCATGCTACATGCGTATGGCTTACAGCCTCATCTTGGCCGGGAGATGCTCCTAGACGTTTGGCTGCGATGCGTTGCGGAGAATTCATCCCCCAGCAGGGCCTCTCAAATATTCAAGGAGTTTAGCGATTTCATCAGGAACCCCTGCCAGGAATAAACCAATACTAGGATCTACCACCTTCGTATTATCAAACCAGCCGTACGGTAGTAAATCTCTCTCTGATCCACAAGGGCGGCGACTACATGTCGTGGTGACGACCTGGGGCAGACTTTGTCTAGGCTGGTCTCGGGAGTCCAAAGAACCACAATGTATAAATCAGGAAAGCTTCAAAAAATGGAAATTACGCTGAGCTTACACAACGAGTAAAGTCGGGACATCCAAGTACCCAAATAAGTAAGTTGATGTAATCAGCTGGGCTCTGAAAGTTGGGACTGGGGTATACTCACAGGTACCTTGCTAGCCTCTCTCTGAATGGATGAAGAACTTTGCTTAAGGCAGCTCCTAACCGACCCCATATATTTCCCGGTTACTTGATTATCAGCTTTTGTGCCACGTAATTCGTATAAAACATTCTGTATAAACAAGACGGCACCGACGCACGCAGCATGAATACATCCTCGCAAACATGAAAGGTCTGTGCGAAATCGGCGTATCAAGAACAAGAGGCCGGCCACCTGAATCTATCTGTCTCAGGAAAGCAATTGTCGTTTTTCTTTCGCTATTAACCCTCTATCCACCTTATGGTACCACCACATTGCCTCGCCACCACACGGGTAAGATCCCTCTATGACAGAGAACGAAGGTACATTTCCTAGAACAAAAAATATATACAGCTTCATACTCACTTCTTTACTCCGCCATTTCACATGTCGACTGGAATGCTCTGGCAAACTGTACGATACGCAAGAAGGATGAGGGACCATTCGGCTCTGTCGAAGCTGCTCTTGAGAGTGAGTTGCTGGCAACACACCAAATGGCAACGATTTGATTGAGGAAGACTGAAGTCGTGATCACCGCCAATGACCAAACGTCACACACCTCGCCAAACACATTTAGTGTGCAAAATCAGTCAAGCTGGAGAGGAAGTGCATGTGAATAGGATCCGTTGAATAAGAGTCATCGCAACAGGGTTACTGTAATTGTTAAACGCACAGAAGGAAGGCCAACGACCAGATCGCCAGATCTCCTTACGAAAACGCTTTAGGAAAAGTATGAGGTTTTGAGTCAAACCTGTTTGGCCACATTTTCTTTTACTCCGTTCCTTAAAGTTATTCATGATCCGAATAGGGAACACCTTAGCTTCGCAGATGGTCGGTTTCGTTCAAGTAATACCTTTTATCGAGACATAAAATAGCCTCGCGAATAGCCAATTATACTGACTGCAAATAAAGGAGGTTATTTTAAGAGTTTTACACGACCCGTCATCATATCTACTGTGCGGATGCCAGCACATATTGCATTTGGTTCGTTTCCTCGCATTCAACATCCACAGTGGTCCTCTAACACTTCACGTGTTGTTTCAGCTACTGCTTGAGGATTTTGCTTTTTTATAAGTGTCGTAGAATGCTAGGACAGTCAGTTCTGCTCGCAATCTTAGAGAAAGCCGGGGTGCGCGTTCCCGTATGAATTGGAAGACGGAGTTAGGGCGGGGATCAAACAAGCGTCCTAGTTTCCTCATCGAAGGCATGAGGCCACTGTGCTCTCTCCTACCATATATCTAACAACTAGTGCACAACTTCTAAACAAGATAAATGATGCATACTTCCAGCCTACATAACGGCTGTGCTAGCTTCTCTTCATGTTGTTTGCCTGCTTTGCGAACTGTACATCGATATACAGTCATTACGGTAATTTTTTCGATACCTCCTATCAACCTCGTGTTAGTCTAATCATTCATGAAAATGCCAATTCTAATTCCCATTGATTTCAAAGTCTTTCGAGGTTTCATGCATTAACGCGATCAAAGTGTTTCCACCACACATTCATTTATTTGTTCGCAATGATGGGACAGTCAGCAATGTTTTTCATGCTCATTCTTGACTTCCTCTTCGCGATTATCATTCCACTCAGGTGAGCTGCTCTTTTGCTTTCTGCAGAGGTGTCCTATTCAAAATTGACAATGACTGTAAGCCTGGAAAAACACTTGATGGGCAAGCTGGGTTACAGGTACCTTGGCAGATAAGATAGTTAATAGTTAATAGTGTACACAAAAGGAGTCTTTAACCCTAGCGATCAAGAAACATCACTAACGAAACCGCTCTTCAGCTGTTTCAGCTGTAAGGGAGGCGCACTATTCTTGTTTGCTCAGAAGTCTAGGAGTTGCTGATAATTATCGCAATTTATTCTAATACCGTTTCAGTAATATTCCTAGTGCCCAATTTGCATGATTCTAGTAAAGGAAATTGACTTGTATACTGCCTTTGAGAAATTGCTTGAAAATCAACACTAGGATACACTGTAAAGATATACAGGTGATGAGAGAACTTCAAAAAGCAGTTAAGAATTTTTCCAAGGACTCAACTAGTAAGACTACACCTTTGAGGACGGTTTCTAACCTGACTGTCGCCATTTCGTCTTAGCAACCAAGGCCAAATAGAGTTCCATGCCACGCCATTCTTTTCGAACAGTGGTTACTTGATTACCATGTGCACTATCTCCAACCTACAGTTTTTCAATTTCAGGCATCGCATGTTCACCAATCTGCATTACGTCTTCTACATGTGCATACCTCCGTTCCTATTCGCTTTTGTTACTGTGATCTTTTGTTTCTTCTTTATGAACGACGACCTCATCGATTTCTGCACACCGGCTCAAAGTGAGTAAATTTACTCAACTCTCCATTTTTCTCATTTTTGCAGCCTATTAATTTAGCGGTTTGCAGCATTTCCACGTAAAATAGCGTTTATCTCCTACGTGGTCAACGGTACGAACATTGCCACCCTTATGCTACTCCTCTCGGTTTTTGTTGCAGTCAGGAAAAGTCAAGCAGGTGCAATCTGTCTTCTATAACGCTTCTTAGCAAGTAACGGTAGCAGTCTATTCTGACTTTACAAAATTATTGAGATCTTCACTTTGTAGACTAAAATTTGCCAAATCTGCAAGGGTATAACTAAGTTATTGAACTTCTCGTTGTCTTTCACGTTATCATTTCTTTTGTTTTCAAACCTTCTAGATTGCGTTTAAAAGGGCGCGAAGTTACAAAGAGTAGGATAGGAGTTTGTACCTTCTTTTATTAATAACCTAATAAAAAGTTGTTAACAAACGTTTATTCGGCTAACGTTTCGATATCTTCGTCATCCTCAGAGCCAATAGCTAGAGTGGATGGTCCACAATTGCTCGTCTTCTCTATGTAGCGTTTTTGTTTTCGCATCGATTCGGATCTTCATCAATGGAGCATCGCGAGAATGATGTAACCTCATCTGACAGCGCTTTTTAATGCAGGACTGTTGTTGTTGATAATGATTGTCTGTTGAAAATAACTCGAGAAGGCGAACAACTGTAGACCATCGACTCGGATCATCGGCTTTGACGAATAAGAAGGTGTCGAAACGTTAGCTGAATAAATATTTGGCAACAACTCATGCTACCTTATTCCACACTGAGGATAAATGATAGTCGGCTTGCAAAACTTGATACGAGGTTGTTAAAACAGCAATTATTCGAAATTGGCCAATCATATACTTTTAAGGTCTATGCAAACCTTGTGAGGTAGTTTGTTTGAACTCAGGTCTTCAAAATTCTAAAAATCTCGACCCACACCCTAGGCTGGCTGTTCGACCTGTGTCGGGCATATTCTCTACAGTAAACTTCCTAGTTGTTAACTAACACTTCAGTCTTTATTTCATTAACGCTTTGCGAACTCAGCAGTGTACTGACACCTCAGCTTTCGAAAGTGATAATTCCGACTCTTTTTCAAACATTACATGAGCTTTCAATCACGTCTACTATAGGGACGCCAGAGCTTTTTGCATCCGACTCGTTTTTCTCGCATTCATGGTCCATGAAGATCTAAGAACATTTCGCCTCTTGTTTCGATTGTTGTTGGAGGAATTTTTTTTCTTACGAATACCGTAGAATTGGTTCTCCCTTCTCCTTGAATCTTGGAGATAGCCAAGGAAAGGCGTTCTTGAGTCAGTTGGGTGAGATGATGGGGTTGGTGGGAGGTCGAACCAACCATTTGTTTTCTGACTGACTGCTTCTCTCTGATAGATCTCTCTGATGGAATGCCACTCCACCACGGCATTTACCCCTCCCCAATTCAGATTCTAAAAATGAAAGTTTCAGTATTATCCAAAGTTTATTGAATTTTTGCCAACAAGCAAAAATTATTGATTAGCAAAGATTTGTATAAGTGTGCTGATACTTACAGATTCAATGGTAGCTCGATTATCTGCAGATTGTAGTCATCATCGTCGGACACGCCATGATGAACTGAAGGTGTGGTACGAATTTTCATTAAATTACTGGAGTCTGTTACTTTCTGAGTGTTTTTAAACGCTCATTGCAATTGTGTTTTTGAATGAGGCTGCCCAAGCGAGCATTTGAATGCGTAGAGAAGTTCGGTTTCAGTTGATGCGGTCGTTTGCTGTGCTTGTGGTAGTGTTCGTGTGCTCTTGGTGCATCTCAACGATTATCACTCATGTCTCCTATGAATATCTTCCCCATGAGGCATCTCTTGTCGTTCAAACCTACACTGTGAGTGCAAAAGGAATTAAAAATGTTTTGATTGTTCTCTTATCATTAACAGTAATCTGCGCATCAAAACAGGTTACCTTTGACCGTTGTTTTGGTCGTAAAGAACTTTTTCTGTCTACTATTTCCGTAACCTTACTAAGATACCCTTAAAAAAGAAACGATTCGTAATTTCTGTCAAGACGGCGGCGATTTCATGCGTAGGATAACCCATATGTGAAAAAGAAAGAGAAACAGGAGGAAAACCCTTTGTAGTTATGAGGCTCCTGCTGAATTTGAAACTTATTGCAGTTCGGGGCACCCTTATTATTGTGAGGTGAAAAAGCACTGGTTAAGAATAAATATTTTGGGCAGGACCACGTCAACAGAGTGAAAAAATATTTGAATATGTGTGAACAGTGAAAAACTTAATGAGGTTATCGCATTTCTATTGTGACAGCAGATGGACTAATCTAAGCAGTCGTGTCGTTTCTAGCATCAGTTTATCCTTAGTTGAGCAACGAAGTTCTCTTTCGATCATCTAAATTAAAAGGTCCACATCTTTTACTTGAGACGCAACAGCTACAATGCATGGTGTTTTAGAAGGAAACGCTCTAACCATCCAAAACTTTTTAGTAAGGTAGAAGATAGTGAGTCCTATGGGAAATTAATTGTTTCTTCATGTTTTATTCAACCTCGTTACTGCTCATTTAGATACTTAGATGGTTCGTCTTCGCTGATTGTGGCCTCCAGCATGATTTTCAATCCTCATAAATTTGCTGGTTTACCAACTGTGGCTCCTTGCAGTCCAGAGGTCACCTTGGCCAAAGCCTTCCTCAGATTGTTACGACTCTAGGTAGTCCTGGTGGATAAAGAGATTTGCCACCATACCACTGGTCTGGTACCAGGATGGTGGTGATTCTTTATATTGGTTTACTATTAACTGTGGTTCGGATGGAAAATTCAGGTTCTTTCTGAGCTTCGGAAACCTTGCTGGGAGACGAAGTTCTTGTTGTACATTGCAACCAAACACCCAGGAACATTTCCCAGCCACGATCGAGCGGTATACCATTGGGAGCATCCATATTATTTAACGTAGTAAAAGCATAAGGCGTTGAAAAAACCGGAAACTATCAATCCATATGGACGCGTACACCACGCAAAGCTATCTCTTTACAGGTGCTCCTCGTTATACCTACCTATTGTCAGTGTTACTTCGTCACCTACATCCGATGTTCTCTCCACCGATCAGCCTATAGGAAACAACTACAGCGACTGTTTTCATGCTTAATAGCGAGGGAAGACAAAACCACTCGAACTAATACTCTTTAGTCATCTGTTGCTCTTTTTTTACAGCCATTGCGAAGTTGCTATTCAGCACACGTTTAATTCCTCACAAATATAACACATACAACACAACGGTAGCTGACTTTCGCCAGTATCGCCTTCTTCAGAGCCTGGAAGGGTACACTAGTATGTAATTTACTAGGTCAAACGCTTCAACAATTCAAACAGAAAAATGAAAATTTGAACAATAATTATACGATCACCGGCTTCTCGGAAAACCCACCGTTTTTATCTGCCTTCCACCAAGAAAGAACAGCCGCTTAGAATCGCACATGGTTGATTGCTGCACCACCCCACATCAAAAACCAGTTTTGAGATACGGGGCTAGATCACACGTTATTTCAGGGCTTTCTTTCCTTCTATTCATTTTCGGATTTTTGGAATTTATCCAAAAACCTTCGAGAAATTTGCGCGCTGGTGTTTTAGTCTTCTGTGAAAGGATATTGACTTTCACTTCAAAATCGTTTCCGCTATGCTTTTGTATCCTACGCGTGCCTAGTGGGGTACTTTGTCTTGTTTGCCATCTAGGTGTTCTTTTATACGGATACACAAGGGTCTGCCCATTTCGCCAATATATTCATCTCCGCAATTAATAGAAAATCGATCCTGGAAACTAGTACAGGGCTTATTAAGAACCCGGCTTCTGTCAGACAATATTGTCGTTTAAAAATAATTCGTGATTGCACAACCAAAATTTGGAGATTGTTACAGCCGAATTTACATAGTTGTGTTCTTTCTATGTAACTGTACGATATACGGTACAATCCCTTTCCAGACAAGCGAGTTTTCAAATACGTTGATATTTTTCTGCTTTGATGACTTTTAAGTCCAACCAGTTATAAATAGTGCACCTGCGTGCATCTCAGAGTGCGTATTAAGTACTGATTCGCTTTCTAAGAGCACCATCTCAATAAAATTTATCAGCGAAAGGTCTGCTACTATGCTTGACAGACGTTTTGTATAACCACCATTGCATGGTCAGTAGAGCGGAAATGAGGAGCATTACATCCTTCACTGATCTTCCGTACCAAGTCTTGTCAAACAGTTACGTACGTCGTAAGTGAAGTGCAAAGAGAAGGGCGTCGTTGTGTTAATGGTGGAAACTTCGTGCGCTTTTTTGAATGTGCGAAAACGAAAGCAGCATGGGCCACGTTGAGGTTCGTCAGAAAAGCCAGCGACCAACCAGATGAACTACGCCGTGACCACCTTGATTATAGTATTTTACCGGCGTTTGCCATGCAACAAAGGTGTGAGTTGATCACTTAACCACCTAGAAAGCTCTGCACAGCAGTCGTAGAGCGCTTGAACAACTTGTTCAAAATCCAACTGACGCAGACAGTGCATAGTTTGAATGTGCAATGCAGATTCTCGAATCCTTTCCCATCTTCGAGATTCACGCTGGTGTATTCCTCTTGTCGCACAGACGAACCTCTCAATTTCCTTAAAGTTGAAGTTTGCCAGTCGATCACAGTAAAACCACCATAGTAATTATTTAGTCTTTGTCCAAAAGCTGCCCCTTTCGTTGTGACGCATTAGTGAAGAAGAAATGTTGTCAATGAAGACAGCACTGATCTAATGGTGCAACTTATTCGGAAAGGCATCACATCTTCACAAACGATTTATTGCACCTACTTTGCAACTTAAAAACGACAGTCACCTCGATTTTACTGTGAACTGCTTGATGACTGCACCATGCCACAACAGAAATTGATGCGAACATACGGGGTAAGGTCGTGTATGACCTCTGGCCATTCATCTCTGCTATTCACTGCAGGGTTTTGGCATTTATCCAAAAAGCCTTATGAAGTTCTCGCGCTTTTGTTTTAGTCTCCTGTGAAAGGATATTAAAATTTATTTTAAAATCGTCTCCGTTATGCTTTTGTATCCCATGCGTGCCTAGTGGGGTACTTTGTCTTACTTCTCGTTTGCATCTAGGTGTTCTTTTATGCGGATAAATAAAGGTCTGCCGTGTCGCCAACAAATTCATCTTC